GGAGTTTCGAAAAATTTCCATTACTGGAATGTATTCTCCCCCAAAACGTTCTCAAGGGTACTGAACATATGACAATATTGTGGGAGAGGCACACCGGGGGGTCTGGGGGGTATGGAATACCCCCCAGGCACACATACTTTCAGGACAGAAATAGTTTATAAACCTCCTTCGCGAATTGTTGTTGGAGTTTCGAAAAATCTCCTTTCCTGGAATGTATTCTCCCCCAAAACGTTGTCAAGGGTACTGAAGATATGACAATTTTGGGGGAGTGGCACATCAGGGGGTCTGGAATACCCCCAGGCACACATACTTCCAGGACAGACATATTTTATAAACCTCCTTCGCGAATTGTTGTTGGAGTTTCGAAAAATTTCCATTACTGGAATGTATTCTCCCCCAAAACGTTCTCAAGGGTACTGAACATATGACAATATTGTGGGAGAGGCACACCGGGGGGTCTGGGGGGTATGGAATACCCCCCAGGCACACATACTTTCAGGACAGAAATAGTTTATAAACCTCCTTCGCGAATTGTTGTTGGAGTTTCGAAAAATCTCCTTTCCTGGAATGTAATCTTCCCCAAAACGTTGTCAAGTGTACTGAACATATGACAATTTTGGGGGAGAGGCACACCGGGGGGTATGGAATACCCCCCAGACACACATACTTCCAGGACAGAAATATTTTATAAACCTCCAACGCGAATTGTTGTTGGAGTTTCGAAAAATCTCCTTTCCTGGAATGTATTCTCCCCCAAAACGTTGTCAAGGGTGCTGAAGATATGACAATTTTGGAGGAGGGGCACACCAGGGGGTCTGGAATACCCCGAGGCACACATGCTTCCAGGACAGAAATAGTTTATAAACCTACTTCGCGAATTGTTGTTGGAGTTTCGAAAAATCTCCTTTCCTGGAATGTTTCCTCCCCCAAAACGTACTGAAAGGTACTGAACATATGACAATTTTGGGGGAGAGGCACACTGGGGGGTCTGGAATACCCCCCAGGCACACATAATTCCAGGACAGAAGTATTTTATAAACCTCCTTCGCGAATTGTTATTGGAGTTTGGAAAAATCTCCTTTCCTGGAATGTATTCTCCACCAAAACGTTCTCAAGGGTACTGAACATATGACAATTTTGGGGGAGAAGCACACCGGAGGGTCTGGGGGGTATGGAATACCCCCCAGGCACACATACTTCCAGGACAGAAACATTTTATAAACCTCCTTCGCGAATTGTTGTTGGAGTATCGAAAAATCTCCTTTCCTGGAATGTTTCCTCCCCCAAAACGTACTGAAAGGTACTGAACATATGACAATTTTGGGGGAGAGGCACACTGGGGGGTCTGGAATACTCCCCAGGCACACATACTTCCAGGACAGAAGTATTTTATAAACCTCCTTCGCGAATTGTTATTGGAGTTTGGAAAAATCTCCTTTCCTGGAATGTATTCTCCACCAAAACGTTCTCAAGGGTACTGAACATATGACAATTTTGGGGGAGAGGCACACCGGGGGGTCCGGGGGGTATGGAATACCCCCCAGGCACACATACTTTCAGGACAGAAGTATTTTCTAAACCTCCTTCGCGAATTGTTATTGGAGTTTGGAAAAATCTCCTTTCCTGGAATGTATTCTCCACCAAAACGTTCTCAAGGGTACTGAACATATGACAATTTTGGGGGAGAGGCGCACCGGAGGGTCTGGGGGGTATGGAATACCCCCCAGGCACACATACTTCCGGGACAGAAACATTTTATAAACCTCCTTCGCGAATTGTTGTTGGAGTTTCGAAAAATCTCCTTTCCTGGAATGTATTCTCCCCCAAAACGTACTGAAAGGTACTGAACATATGACAATTTTGGGGGAGAGGCACACCGGAGGGTCTGGGGGGGTATGGAATACCCCCCAGCCACACATACTTCCAGGACAGAAACATTTTATAAACCTCCTTCGCGAATTGTTGTTGGAGTTTCGAAAAATCTCCTTTCCTGGAATGTATTCTCCCCCAAAACGTACTGAAAGGTACTGAACATATGACAATTTTGGGGGAGAGGCACACTGGGGGGTCTGGAATACCCCCCAGGCACACATAATTCCAGGACAGAAGTATTTTATAAACCTCCTTCGCGAATTGTTATTGGAGTTTGGAAAAATCTCCTTTCCTGGAATGTATTCTCCACCAAAACGTTCTCAAGGGTACTCGAACATATGACAATTTTGGGGGAGAGGCACACCGGTGGGTCTGGGGGGTATGGAATACCCCCCAGGCACACATACTTCCAGGACAGAAACATTTTATAAACCTCCTTCGCGAATTGTTGTTGGAGTATCGAAAAATCTCCTTTCCTGGAATGTTTCCTCCCCCAAAACGTACTGAAAGGTACTGAACATATGACAATTTTGGGGGAGAGGCACACTGGGGGGTCTGGAATACCCCCCAGGCACACATAATTCCAGGACAGAAGTATTTTATAAACCTCCTTCGCGAATTGTTATTGGAGTTTGGAAAAATCTCCTTTCCTGGAATGTATTCTCCACCAAAACGTTCTCAAGGGTACTGAACATATGACAATTTTGGGGGAAAGGCACACCGGAGGGTCTGGGGGGTATGGAATACCCCCCAGGCACACATACTTCCAGGACAGAAACATTTTATAAACCTCCTTCGCGAATTGTTGTTGGAGTTTCGAAAAATCTCCTTTCCTGGAATGTATTCTCCACCAAAACGTTCTCAAGGGTACTGAACATATGACAATTTTGGGGGAGAGGCACACCGGAGGGTCTGGGGGGTATGGAATACCCCCCAGGCACACATACTTCCAGGACAGAAACATTTTATAAACCTCCTTCGCGAATTGTTGTTGGAGTTTCGAAAAATCTCCTTTCCTGGAATGTTTCCTCCCCCAAAACGTACTGAAAGGTACTGAACATATGACAATTTTGGGGGAGAGGCACACTGGGGGGTCTGGAATACCCCCCAGGCACACATACTTCCAGGACAGAAGTATTTTATAAACCTCCTTCGCGAATTGTTATTGGAGTTTGGAAAAATCTCCTTTCCTGGAATGTATTCTCCACCAAAACGTTCTCAAGGGTACTGAACATATGACAATTTTGGGGGAGAGGCGCACCGGAGGGTCTGGGGGGTATGGAATACCCCCCAGGCACACATACTTCCGGGACAGAAACATTTTATAAACCTCCTTCGCGAATTGTTGTTGGAGTTTCGAAAAATCTCCTTTCCTGGAATGTTTCCTCCCCCAAAACGTACTGAAAGGTACTGAACATATGACAATTTTGGGGGAGAGGCACACTGGGGGGTCTGGAATACCCCCCAGGCACACATAATTCCAGGACAGAAGTATTTTATAAACCTCCTTCGCGAATTGTTATTGGAGTTTGGAAAAATCTCCTTTCCTGGAATGTATTCTCCACCAAAACGTTCTCAAGGGTACTGAACATATGACAATTTTGGGGGAGAGGCACACATACTTCCAGGACAGAAACATTTTATAAACCTCCTTCGCGAATTGTTGTTGGAGTTTCGAAAAATCTCCTTTCCTGGAATGTATTCTCCCCCAAAACGTACTGAAAGGTACTGAACATATGACAATTTTGGGGGAGAGGCACACCGGAGGGTCTGGGGGGGTATGGAATCCCCCCCAGCCTCACATACTTCCAGGACAGAAACATTTTATAAACCTCCTTCGCGAATTGTTGTTGGAGTTTCGAAAAATCTCCTTTCCTGGAATGTTTCCTCCCCCAAAACGTACTGAAAGGTACTGAACATATGACAATTTTGGGGGAGAGGCACACTGGGGGGTCTGGAATACCCCCCAGGCACACATACTTTCAGGACAGAAGTATTTTATAAACCTCCTTCGCGAATTGTTATTGGAGTTTGGAAAAATCTCCTTTCCTGGAATGTATTCTCCACCAAAACGTTCTCAAGGGTACTGAACATATGACAATTTTGGGGGAGAGGCACACCGGAGGGTCCGGGGGGTATGGAATGGTTTTCGAATACGAGCGGAGTGGCAAAAAATTCCCCTACTGAAATTCGTATCTTGTTAGAGTCTGACGTTTCGAAGTTTGCGATCAGATCAGAGAGGTCTTGAATTTCTGTGTCCTTACCAGTTCTTGGTCGGAGTAGTTCTCTTTTCTTATCCTTCTGCGTTGAATACTATTTGACCGGTTCCTTCATTTGGATGCTGGTTTTTTAACCGACTTTCTATCCGCATGCGAATCAACCAATGTTGATTACCATATTTCATTCGAAGTTTCGAAGCGGAATCGACTAAATCAACCCCCCCGATACAACACGCGAAATCTCCTAATAATCTTAAAAAACCACGTGTGTCCGAAGCACTACGAGATAGTCCGCACACAATAGATTCCGCACCCTAAGAAACCTTTTTTTTTCCACATCGCATTATCGCACAATGAGGGTAGTCGGGCTACCTACCATTTTTTAACCCTTATTTGCAATTTCAGATTTTGCAGCTGTGTTTATCCGTAAAAGGGTTTAAATTCGGTATAGGGTTACTCAGCGTTTTTTAAGCGCGTACGTATACTTTTTTTTTGTATAATAGAAAAAGGGCTGGCTTTTTTCTTCTGTTAATGCGGAAAGGGTAGTTTCTCAGGGTTTCGACTTTCGCGTAGGATATTTTTTTTGCCGGAATGTTTTAAAAAGCAACACAAACAGCGCGTCGCGGGGAAGGGTTGACATGGGAAAGGATGTCGGGAATTTTTAGGGAGATTTTCTTTATTAATTAAGCTGCGCGCACCAAAGCGACGGACGGAAACCGAGGAAATTCCCCCAACGCGAGCTAAGTTTATAATGACGTGGAGAGTTTTATGTGAAAAAAAAAAGTTTTCGTTGCTCTGTCAACGAAAATGATTGATTAACACAAATTTTAAACGTTTTTTACATTTCTCACAGGTTTTTTGTATGATAAATGATTTTCGAGTGCTTTATACACGTTTCCTCCTTTCTAGACAATCAAATTTACTTGTCACAGTTCGAATCCGATCGCTTAGAACAACTTAAACAATTGGAGCTGAGGGGGAACTTTTTAACCGACCTGTCCGGCAGTTACCCGGCCAGCCTCGAGGCTCTGTATCTGGTATAAGGCTCGAATCGCGACACCTTCCGACTTTGACTTTCAGGCGGAGAATCGCATCAAGGAACTGACACTGTCGTCCGCCGACTTTCGGCGGCTGGCCGTCCTCCACCTGCGCGAGAATTACGTTCGGAAGCTGGACGGACTCGGACGCGCCGATCTGCCCAGCTTGAGGTATCTCAACCTGCGAAAGAACAAGATCACGAAGTTCAGGCAGTTTCGAAAGCTGGCCCGGCTGCCCAAGCTGGAAACGCTAATCGTCTTGGGGAATCCGTTTTACGGTAAGCGAGGCGAGTGTCGTCCGCCGCCGATTTACGAATGGATTCTTTTAGGCGAGGAAGAGAAACCGGGGGAGGACGACGAAGAGCTAGGCGACGAGGAAGAGAAGGAGGACATCGCCAGGTTTGCCCACTTCCTCTTTTTTCTGCGCTACTGATAAGTTAACCAGGCAGAGACGAGATCACGCTTCACACAGAGTCGAAGACTGATATCATGAGTCATGACTATCAGGAGCACAGTTGAAAGAGTTCTTTAATTACACCAGCAGCACATATCAGTCATTTCACACGCTATCTTACTTCTGTGCTCCTAATACGAAGTATTTTTTTTCGCGGAGGCATTGTTAGAGTAAGTCCCGCTGGTATCACTCCTCCTGATAGGTACATAACAGGCTAGATCTATACTTCTTCTCTTCATTGCTCCTGTTACGTCTAGCGGTTCTAAAAGAGTCGTTGGTCATTTCTCAATACAATCAACCCTTTCCACAAAAGATTTTTGCTCTGGTAAAACGCCCTGTGCACCTCTGACACAAACTTCATCAGTTTTACCAGTCGGGTGCTCAGGGACTTAGGAATCATGAAGATTTCGAGGCCCTTAGGAATGCCATGGTTTTTACGACTTCTTAGAACCGAAAAAATTAAAGTCAACGAACTTTCAGAGAACCGAGGGCACTAAGTCTTAAGAACCTAAAGAGCCCTAACAAAATTACCCCTTCTGATAAAACGGAGAGCCCTAAGTATTAACAAAACAACACGCGCCTATAGGGCTTAAAACCCTGAAAACTTGATCCTCAGTAGTAACTCTTCTGGTTACTAAGGGTCAAGTTCTCAGGATGTCAGGTTCTTCAGATTCTTTGACCATAGTGCCTTAGTTGTCCTGCTACTTTGTGGACCCTGTAAACAAAACCGAATGATGAAATACAAATTTACAACCCCCATAATAGGCGAATCGTAATCTGAAAGTGAACTTTTATTTAAAAAATTCATTATTTCTGAAACGGGAGGGGGCTATACTTTTAGATGCACTTAAGGGGTGGTTTGTGGACCCTGTAAACAAAATCGAATGAGGAAACAACAATTGTTGAAGTGGCACAAAAATTACAGCCCCCAGAATAGGCGAATAGTTATGTGATGCTGAATTTTTATTTAAAAAATTCATAATTTCTGAAACGGGAGGGGGCTATACTTTTAAATGCACTTAAGGGGTGGTTTGTGGACCCTGTAAACAAAATCGAATGAGGAAACAAAAATTGTTGACGTGCCACAAAAATTACAGCCCCCACAATAGGCGAATCGTAATCTGAAAGTGAACTTTTATTAAAAAAATTCATAATTTCTGAAACGGGAGAGGGCTATACTTTCAGATGCACTTAAGGGGTGGTTTGTGGACCCTGTAAACAAAATCGAATGACGAAACAAAAATTGTTGAACTGCCACCAAAATTACAGCCCCCACAATAGGCGAATCGTAATCTGAAAGTGAACTTTTATTAAAAAAATTCATAATTTGTGAAACGGGAGGGGGCTATACTTTCAGATGCACTTAAGGGGTGGTTTGTGGACCCTGTAAACAAAATCGAATGAGGAAACAAAAATTGTTGAAGTGCCACCAAAATTACAGCCCCCACAATAGGCGAATCGTAATCTGAAAGTGAACTTTTATTTAAAAAATTCATAATTTCTGAAACGAGAGGGGGCTATACCTTTAGATGCACTTAAGGGGTGGTTTGTGAACCCTGTAAACAAAATCGAATAAGGAAACAAAAATTGTTGAAGTGTCACAAAAATTACAACCCTCACAATAGGCGAATCGTAATCTGAAAGTGAACGTTTATTAAAAAAATTCATAATTTCTGAAACTGGAGGGGTCTATACTTTTAAATGCACTTAAGGGGTGGTTTGTGGACCCTGTAAACAAAATCGAATGAGGAAACAAAAATTGTTGAAGTACAACAAAAATTACAGCCCCTACAATAGGCGAATCGTAATCTAAAAGTGAACTTTTATTTAAAAAATTCATAATTTCTGAAACGGGAGGGGGCTATACTTTTAGAAGCACTTAAGGGGTGGTTTGTGGACCTTGTAAACAAAATCGAATGAGGAAACAAAAATTCTTGAAGTGCCACAAAAATTACAGCCCCCACAATAGGCGAATCGTAATCTGAAAGTGAACTTTTATTAAAAAAATTCATAATTTCTGAAACGGGAGGGGGCTATACTTTCAGATGCACTTAAGGGGTGGTTTGTGGACCCTGTAAACAAAATCGAATGAGGAAACAAAAATTGTTGAAGTGCCACCAAAATTACAGCCCCCACAATAGGCGAATCGTAATCTGAAAGTGAACTTTTACTTAAAAAATTCATAATTTCTAAAACGGGAGGGGGCTATACTTTTAAATGCACTTAAGGGGTGGTTTGTGGACCCTGTAAACAATATCGAATGAGCAAACAAAAATTGTTGAAGTGCCACCAAAATTACAGCCCCCACAATAGGCGAATCGTAATCTGAAAGTGAACTTTTATTTTAAAAATTCATAATTTCTGAAACGGGAGGGGGCTATACTTTTAGAAGCACTTAAGGGGTGGTTTGTGGACCCTGTAAACAAAATCGAATGAGGAAGCAAAAATTGTTGAAGTAAAACAAAAATTACAGCCCCCACAATAATCGAATCGTAATCTGAAAGTGAACTTTTATTTAAAAAATTCATAATTTCTGAAACGGGAGGGGACTATACTTTTAGATGCACTTAAGGGGTGGTTTGTGTACCCTGTAAACAAAATCGAATGAGGAAACACAAATTGTTGAAGTGCCACCAAAATTACAACCCCCACAATAGGCGAATCGTAATCTGAAAGTGAACTTTTATTTAAAAAATTCATAATTTCTGAAACGGGAGGGGCTATACTTTCAATGCACTTAAGGGGTGGTTTGTGGACCCTGTAAACAAAATCGAATGAAGAAACAAAAATTCTTGAAGTGTCACAAAAATTACAGCCCCTCACAATAGGCGAATCGTAATCTGAAAGTGAACTTTTATTTAAAAAATTCATAATTTCTGAAACGGGAGGGGGCTATACTTTCAGATGCACTTAAGGGGTGGTTTGTGGACCCTGTAAACAAAATCGAATGAGGAAACAAAAATTTTGAAGTGTCACAAAAATTACAACCCTCACAATAGGCGAATTGTAATCTGAAAGTGAACTTTTATTTAAAAATTCATAATTTCTAAAACGGGAGGGGGCTATACTTTTAAATGCACTTAAGGGGTGGTTTGTGGACCCTGTAAACAAAATCAAATGAAGAAACAAAAATTCTTGGAGTGCCCCAAAAATTACAGCCCTCACAATAGGCGAATCATAATCTGAAAGTGAACTTTTATTAAAAAAATCATAATTTCTAAAACGGGAGGGGGCTATACTTTTAAATGCACTTAAGGGGTGGTTTGTGGACCCTGTAAACAAAATCGAATGAGGAAACAAAAATTGTTGAAGTGCCACCAAAATTACAGCCCCCACAATAGGCGAATCGTAATCTGAAAGTGAACTTTTATTTAAAAAATTCATAATTTGTGAAACGGGAGGGGGCTATACTTTCAGATGCACTTAAGGGGTGGTTTGTGGACCCTGTAAACAAAATCGAATGAGGAAACAAACATTTTTGAAGTGTCACAAAAATTACAACCCTCACAATAGGCGAATTGTAATCTGAAAGTGAACTTTTATTTAAAAATTCATAATTTCTAAAACGGGAGGGGGCTATACTTTTAAATGCACTTAAGGGGTGGTTTGTGGACCCTGTAAACAAAATCGAATGAGGAAACAAAAATTCTTGAAGTGCCACAAAAATTACTACCCTCACAATAGGCGAATCGTAATCTGAAAGTGAACTTTTATTTTAAAAATTCATAATTTCTGAAACGGGAGGGGGCTATACTTTTAAATGCACTTAAGGGGTGGTTTGTGGACCCTGTAAACAAAATCGAATGAAGAAACAAAAATTCTTGAAGTGCCACAAAAATTACAACCTTCACAATAGGCGAATCGTAAACTGAAAGTGAACTTTTATTAAAAAAATTCATAATTTCTGAAACGGGAGGGGGCTATACTTTTATATGCACTTAAGGGGTGGTTTGTGGACCCATGCAAAACAAAATCGAATGAGGAAACAACAATTGTTGAAGTGGCACAAAAATTACAGCCCTCACAATAGGCAAATCGTAATCTGAAAGTGAATTTTTATTAAAAAAATTCATAATTTCTAAAACGGGAGGGGGCTATACTTATAGATGCACTTAAGGGGTGGTTTGTGGACCCTGTAAACAAAATCGAATGAAGAAACAAGAATTCTTGAAGTGCCACAAAAATTACAACCCTCACAATAGGCGAATCGTAATCTGAAAGTGAACTTTTATTTAAAAAATTCTTAATTTCTGAAACAGGAGGAGGCTATACTTTTAGATGCACTTGAGGGATGGTTTGTGCCGCTACGCTCCTGATGCAACTGAGATTTGATCTACTCTTCTTCGTTTTCGTACTCCTGATACACTTAACCGATTCTAAGAGTGTATACGTACTAATTTGCGCTTTTTTGTTCACCCTTGGCACAATGTTAAGTAATCAGGACCACAGAACATGTTACCGTTAAATTCCATAGTAACAAATGCATTTTCAAGAAATAGGTTGCAGATCTTAGCTTCTCCGAAATATTGTAGATTATACTAGGAGCGCAGAACGTCTAAAGTGGTTTATCGTATCGAGACTTGTTTCCTACGCTTTCAGTCTTGGAGTAAGCCAATTGTAACAGGAGCACATAATTTCAACCTGTTGTAGTGGGTCAGTTTACCTCTGTGTAATAGGAGAGGCCCTTAAATGAGTCTATTCGACTGTTTCAGAGCGTTCCAAAGCTGCCCAAAATTAATTATGAGCACATGAGCACACGTAAGAAGTTGAAGTTATCAGATCAATATTTGGAAGAGTTTTAAAGAAAACGCGATAGACTTCTGTTCGAATAAGAGCACATGTCCTCTTTCACTTTTCCGCTCCTAATACAAACCGTGTTTTCGGGCACGTACCTATCTACAAATTTGTGCTGCATCAGTGCTCCCGATGTACCCAATAATGGCATCATGAGCACAGCTTAACAATTTTTCTTCTTCTATGTGCTCCTGATAAATTTGGATGTAAAAAAATAGGTATCTCCATATTTTCTCATTTTATTAGTATCCTCTTAATGCAGGCAAAGTTTTCTGCTAATTTAGCGCTACCCCCGGTATAAAATTAATAGCTTGTAACAGGAGCACAGAAGTACAGGCACTACGATCGTTCAACGTATCTTTCGAAACAAATTCTTAGCGTAGGAGATTTAAGAGCGGATATTTTCAACGCTTTAAATTATGAAAAAGTATCAGCCGAGGGTGAGTATATCAATTCACCTGGCTCCCTTACTAAATTTAGTTCAAAGAACGGCTCCTTTAGTATAAATGAAGCAATTTCCCAATTTCCCATAACGTAATTGAGAATAATGAAGTCGTTTCCATACAATAATTGCCAGCTACCGCAAACTAGCGTTTAGTGGCCGTAATTAAATCAAAGCCCCCTAATTAATGTAGGTGGCGCCATCGGCGAGCGAAACGTCGAAACTCGGGGCGCGTAACGATCTCGAAACTGTCGTCGCATACGGGCGAGTGGTGGCGCCACAAGTCGGGATATCGCGATTTTTAGTTTGTCGAGCGAGGACGCGAATTTTCCGGTTAATGAAATGCGCCGGATTTCCCGAATTGAGTTTTAGCTCGTCATGGAAAATCGGCGGAATCCGCAACATGCGGTGACCGCGCTTCAAAGCTGGTATTTTAAAATGAAATTTTCAGAATTCCACTGCTGGTCCTGCTTCCGCAACTGAAACGCATAAACAAGGGTCCGGTGACGGTCGAGGAGCGGGAGGAGGTGGCCGAGGTACGTGAGGAAAAGCTCGAGGAAATTATGGGGGAGGAGAGTGCGTGACGGGGCGCTCTTGAGGACTTAATGATTGCACGCTTTTCGCAGGTAGCGACGATGAGATGCCAACGACGACGGAGTACACGACGGAGGAGGAGGATTAATAAGTTTTCTACGTGTTTTATGGAAGCTATAGCAAACTTTTGACGAAGTAATTACCGTTTGTCCACTTAGCATGAATAAAGTTTTGGTTACGTTATTTGCGAAAGTCAGTTCTTTCCATTAGGAGGATTGTCCCCTGTTAGTTTTAACGCGATTATGAATTAAGTGTGTGTTAGACAACCAACATTCACGCAACAGTTTATTGTTCATCTTTTGTTTCGCCTAAATTAACAATACACAGTTGGCAGTCTGGAAAGACACGAAAAGAAGGTTTACTCAGTTTTAAAGGGAAAGTAATGGATTTAGCGATTCTTATACTCTTCAAATTACCATCTCCGGTGGTGGCTATATATTTTTTGGACCGCCGAAGTCTATGGTTATATTTGCAGTCCTATTTGTGGTGGCTCGTGGATGACGGTCTTCCTTCCTGGAAGGACTGGTACCTCTTGAGCGGCGACCAACCTTTGAACTTTGAACGAATAGCAACCTTTGGACTTTGAGCGACGAGGAACCTTTGAACTTTGTACGGTGAGCAACATAGCTTATTTGACATTATCTAAAGGGTCATTTCATTCTTCCAAACTCCGAGAATCGTACGTCTTTACTTGCTATCCTCGTCACATTCCAAAACAACATGTAGCTCATCTCCCTTTTCATTCCACATCCACATTCTACCCCCCCCCAAACCCCGTCTTCCACTTTCCCGCTCTCTTCCTCTCTGCTTTCACTAATCCTTTTTCTTTGTTACCGCAACTGTATTCCATATCTTCCATCACTAATCTCCTATATCACCCTCCAATTTTCTTGTACTTGCTTCTTTCTCTCTCCGTCACCTTTCTAATTTCTCTCTGTACCTTTCTTTCTTCATAAGTCAGTTCGTTATCTATTTCTGCTTTCCTTTCTCTATTTCTCTTTCTACTAATATTTAAGCATTTGGTATAGTTTTTGGCTGTCTTTATATTAATTTTAGAGTCAAGGCTATAGCCTTTGGTATATTTTTTATGGTTCGACTTTCTAGTAATTTTAAAACCACAACTGCAGCCTTTGCTGTATTTTTTAATAATCTGTCTATTAATTTTAGACTCAAGACTATACAGCCTTTGTTATATTGTTTGTCCATCTATTAATTTTAGAGCCCAAACTATGGCCTTTGCTATATTTTTGTATAATTTGACTTGCTATTAATTTAAAACCCAAGACTATAGCCTTTGCTACATTAGCTGATAGTATATCTTTCTATGTTTTTAAAATCAAGACTATAGCCTTTGCTATACTAGCTGATTGGATTGTCTTTCTATTAATTTAAACCAACGAATATAGCGTTTGCTGTATTTTTTGATAGTCTGTCCATCTATTAATTTTAGAGCCCAAACTATGGCCTTTGCTATATTTTTTATAATTTGACTGGCTATTAATTTAAAACCCAAGACTATAGCCTTTGCTACATTAGCTGATAGTATATCTTTCTATGATTTTAAGATCCAAGACTGTAGCCTTTGCTATACTAGCTGATCGGTTTGTCTTTCTATTAATTTTAAACCATCGACTATAGCCTTTACTGTATTTTTTGATAGTTTGTCCATCTAGTAGTTTTAGCGCCCAAAGTATGGCCTTTGCTATATTTTTTATAATTTTGATTGGCTATTAATTTATTAAAACCCAAAACTATAGCCTTTGCTACATTAGCTGATAGTATATCTTTCTATGTTTGTAAAATCAAGACTATAGCCTTTGCTATACTAGCTGATTGGATTGTCTTTCTATTAATTTTAAACCAACGAATATAGCGTTTGCTGTATTTTTTGATAGTCTGTCCATCTATTAATTTTAGAGCCCAAACTATGGCCTTTGCTATATTTTTTATAATTTGACTGGCTATTAATTTAAAACCCAAGACTATAGCGTTTGCTACATTAGCTGATAGTATATCTTTCTATGATTTTAAGATCCAAGACTGTAGCCTTTGCTATACTAGCTGATCGGTTTGTCCTTCTATTAATTTTAAACCATCGACTATAGCCTTTACTGTATTTTTTGATAGTTTGTCCATCTAGTAGTTTTAGCGCCCAAAGTATGGCCTTTGCTATATTTTTTATAATTTTGATTGGCTATTAATTTAAAACCCAAAGCTATAGCCTTTGCTACATTAGCTGATAGTATATCTTTCTATGTTTTTAAAATCAAGACTATAGCCTTTGCTATACTAGCTGATTGGATTGTCTTTCTATTAATTTTAAACCAACGAATATAGCGTTTGCTGTATTTTTTGATAGTCTGTCCATCTATTAATTTTAGAGCCCAAACTATGGCCTTTGCTATATTTTTTTATAATTTGACTTGCTATTAATTTAAAACCCAAGACTATAGCCTTTGCTACATTAGCTGATAGTATATCTTTCTATGATTTTAAGATCCAAGACTATAGCCTTTGCTATACTAGCTGATTGGTTTGTCTTTCTATTAATTTTAAACCAACGACTATAGCCTTTACTGTATTTTTTGATAGTTTGTTCATGTATTAGTTTTAGAGTCCAAACTATGGCTATTGCTATATTTTTTATAATTTGACTTGCTATTAATTTAAAACCCAAGACTATAGCCTTTGCTACATTAGCTGATAGTATATCTTTCTATGATTTTAAGATCCAAGACTATAGCCTTTGCTATACTAGCTGATCGGTTTGTCTTTCTATTAATTTTAAACCATCGACTATAGCCTTTACTGTATTTTTTGATAGTTTGTCCATCTAGTAGTTTTAGCGCCCAAAGTATGGCCTTTGCTATATTTTTTATAATTTTGATTGGCTATTAATTTATTAAAACCCAAAACTATAGCCTTTGCTACATTAGCTGATAGTATATCTTTCTATGTTTGTAAAATCAAGACTATAGCCTTTGCTATACTAGCTGATTGGATTGTCTTTCTATTAATTTTAAACCAACGAATATAGCGTTTGCTGTATTTTTTGATAGTCTGTCCATCTATTAATTTTAGAGCCCAAACTATGGCCTTTGCTATATTTTTTATAATTTGACTGGCTATTAATTTAAAACCCAATACTATAGCCTTTGCTACATTAGCTGATAGTATATCTTTCTATGATTTTAAGATCCAAGACTATAGCCTTTGCTATACTAGCTGATTGGTTTGTCTTTCTATTAATTTTAAACCAACGAGTATAGCCTTTGCTGTATTTTTTGATAGTTTGTCCATCTATTAATTTTAGCGCCCAAAGTATGGCCTTTGCTATGTTTTTTATAATTTTGACTAGCTATTAATTTAAAACCCAAGACTATACCCTTTGCTACATTAGCTGATAGTATATCTTTCTATGTTTTTAAGATCCAAGACTATAGCCTTTGCTATACCAGCTGATCGGTTTGTTTTTTTTATTAATTTTAAACCAACGACTATAGCCTGTACTGTATTTTTTAATAGTTTGTTCATGTATTAGTTTTAGAGCCCAGGCTATGGGCTTTGCTATATTTTATATGGTTTGACTTGCTATTAATTTAAAACCCAAGACTATAGCCTTTGCTACATTAGCTGATAGTATATCTTTCTATGATTTTAAGAGCCAAGACTATAGCCTTTGCTATACTAGCTGATTGGTTTGTCTTTCTATTAATTTTAAACCAACGAATATAGCGTTTGCTGTATTTTTTGACAGTGTGTCCATCTATTAATTTTAGAGCCCAAGCTATGGCCTTTGCTATATTTTTTATAATTTGACTGCATCTCAACACTATTACCCTCACGATCTTTACGGTGTTATTCGCTTCGCTCTTCTTTTTATTTTTCTCGTTTTTTCCCTGTTGCACTCTTTTTTTCTCTTGTTCCTTAGATTCGCTCCTATTTATTCTTCTTTAGAAACAAAGAAATGTTGGAAACGTCAGAAAAGGTGGGTAATGTGAGAAATGAGAAACATGAAGAATCTCTTTGGTGTTCAAAAGAAATGGAAAAACATGAGAACCGGCAGAAAGGAAGGAGAGAAAACCAGTTGTCATTGGGTACAAGTAAAATGTAATGAAAGCGAACCGGATTGATGTTGTTTTACGCAGGACTCCGAAATTGATTTTAACGGGGCTTGATGAAAATTCCATTCTGATGGTATAAACTCGTACGGTCACGGAAAAATCTGTTTGTGCCTGTATAACACAGGCGGATTTGTAGCAATTCGAACTGCTGGAATGTCGGCTATCGTTATCCGTGGTAATGGGCCCTTATTTAACCCAAATGGGCACGGTAAATATTGCAAAAGCTCCATTTCACCACCAATAACCAATGGCATGCCTTTCCCTGAGCTTTCTTCGGGAATTTCTTTCGAATCTATCTACTTAATTGCGCGTTGCCATTCGAACGAGGGTATATGAGATGTGAAAGGAAAAGTCGTAAAATAATTTCTTTCGCCACAATAGCCCGAAAAATCGAAGCTTTCACAATATTTGGAAGGTCGGAGTGGAAACCGTTTTCAAAGAGATGACCTGATAACTCTCGCCTTATCTGCGACGCACCTTGCCATTAAAAATGAAAGCCCGTGTCGGCGCGCGAAGAAAATCTATCAAAAGTTCCCCGAGAGTGGTCCACTTCTCCTGCTTGCTTTTGAAATTGAATCATTCTCCTCAAACAAAGCGTTCCGCACGTAGGGAATAATTAATCGCTGCCACTTTTACTATGCGAGTCGAGAGTGGGAAGCCCTTATCCATCTCATTGACGTTGAATTCGTGTTATGTAAACACAAAAAGAAGATGAATGGAAATTTATCTGTTACACTTTGTCACTCTGAATATTTTTTTCCTGCAAACCTAATCTTTTATCACTTTCTATTTATATAATTCAACCAAAGGAGGGCTCCCGTTAGATTTATTGGTAAATCTAAAGCTCACTTTGTCCGTAACCCAATATTCCAGTAATTTTTTTATTTGTTACTTTCCGCCATTATTTACAATTTGACTCAGCCAATTTATACGGCGCGGCGATGCCTGCCGATAAATTCGCCCGGTTTCCTTTTCCGAAAAGAAATTAGACCAGGCAATCTAATTAGGCACGAAACTAAGACGAATTTCT